CTCCATATCTAATTTTTGTGTGCTACTCTAGGCTCTCAGAAAATGTAAAACTTCTTTACATATCTGATTCTTTATTGATATTTCATAATTTTTGATCATTCAGTGATTCAAATAATTTACCCCAATATATATGTACGTGTGAATTATATAAATCATAGAGGCAATAATATAAATATAACATAATAAACAATATATAATCGTTGTAACCTTATTAAGTTCTACTAAGCTAAGTTTTCCATTGATCGGACCCAATTACACCATCTAGTCGTCTTCGACGAGCGTAATCGCCTCGTTTTCGACTTGATTGCGCCAACAACGACGAAGGGGAAGGCTGTTGCATTAAAAATGACGCCGAGTTCCAGACAAACCAAGCTTCGCTGCCCCAGGTTGGTCGACCAGAGACCGTAGAATTTAGTCGCCGGTCGCGGATGATAAAAATCGCGTGAAATTCCTCCGTTCTCTCCGCGGAAAATTCCGAGGCAATTTCCAAGCGAGGCGTCCGCGTTTCTGCGCGGCGCTGCGGGGTGCTTCCAGGCTGCAAACGCGACCTTATTTAGCGCGCCAAGAATTCCAGGTCCCCTTCCGCCCAGGCCAGGCTTCCAGCTTCGGCACCGTGCCAAAGTATTCGCCCGCAAATTCCATGGGAATTCGTTCGTTCCCCTGGAATCACCTTGTTTCCCTCGGCTGCATACTACGAATCATGAGAACGTTGTTTCCTGGTTGAGTTCGAGATTTATCCGGCGGTGAAATGAATTTATAAATCAATGGATTTATTTGTTATTTTATGTTTACTTGGATTGGATAATGGCTTGAAGTTTATATTTATATTATATTTTATATTTATATTTATTTATATTTATATTATATTTTATATTTATATTTATTTATTTATATTTATATTATATTTTATATTTATATTTATTTATATTTATATTATATTTTATATTTATATTTATTTATTTATATTTATATTATATTTTATATTTATATTTATTTATATTTATATTATATTTTATATTTATATTTATTTATTTATATTTATATTATATTTTATATTTATATTTATTTATATTACATTTTATATATATATTTATTTATATTTATACATATTTTATATTTATATTTATTTATATTACATTTTATATTTATATTTATTTAAATTTATATTATATTTTATATTTATATTTTAATATTTCGTACGTATGTTTTATCTTTATATATTCTCACGTGCATAAAATTTAGACGTGATCGATATTACGAACTTGAGAATATTGTTGAATATACTATGAACTTTGAGAATATTGTTGCCCGATTTAATTTGAGATTTGTGTCTTTCGTATTTGGTTTTAGAGTAATTGTTTTGAGGGTGAAATGAATTTATTAATCAATGGATTTATTTGTTATGTACGTTCATTTGTGTTTATTTGGATTGTATAATACCTTGAAGTTATTATTTCATGTACGTGGAATTTTGTATGTTTTATTTTATACTGTCGTGCAAAGGACATCAAAATTTGCAGACGCTCGATCTTGGTTTAATTTGAATTTTATACGTAGCTCGTTCGTTTCTGTTTTTAGGGTAATTCTTTTGGAGACGAAGTAGAGTTAGATTGGATTTAAAATTTTAGATATGTGAGATATCTCAAATGTGTTACAATTATAACATGACTTACAATGTTATATCGAAGTTTAGAATAATATACCACAATTATATCATGACTTATACTATATTAGAGATTCTCTCAAGGATTTCCTGAATTTTAAGAAATCTTGTCAAAAAGAAACTTTCTATTCTACAAACATTTATAAATTTCTGTTACACTGTTTTTAAAAAAACTTCCACCAATTGCTCAAACTTCTAATATTCGCTGGAAACTAGATAAATGGAACAAAGTCAAACTATAAAATCGTGCTGGGAGATCGTATTTTGATAATTATTTTGTCCAAAATGAACAAGCGTTCTTACGTGCAGATTATTTTCAATTTCCTGAGATACACTTTGCTAAGCAAAAACGGTGCGAGGATTAAATAGAGATTATCGATACACCACGGGACAAAGAGACAAGACACTCTATGTGTTCTTACGTTGTGTATAAACTAAACTAGCACTTATAACATCAGTATCCTTGGCTGTGGATTACACGTGTAGCACGTTGAATGTTGTTTCTCAGAAATTTCGTAATTTCTCAGAAATATAAAACCGAAAATGTAAATACTGCGCGGCAGGCAAGATCGAACAAGAATATTTATGCTCGTCAGTCGTACGGGAGCCATCGAAAGCCTAACATTCGTGCGAAATACAGTGAATTAGTGAACACTAGAACCACCAAAGTGGTCGAAATCACCAATTTCTAATTTCTTCGCGTAATTTCTCGGACTCGCAACGTTGCGTTTTTTCAGAGATTCGAATGATTCTTGTAAAACATACGAATAAAAGTTGGCGTTCATTGTCGTGTTACAAATTTTTTCCATGCATTCTAATATCTTTGACTCAATTTTTACTACCTTGGTACTACTCGGTGGTTCTAGTGTTAAGTTTATTGATGAAAAGAGGTTCAATTTAGACGAATCTGGTGCCTGTCATCACGAAAGGAGTTACTACTTCCGATTCGTCGATCCATGATGAGGCGTTGGTTATTGAGGTAAGAGGGAAATAAAATTTATTGCGAGGAAATTAAATGGTAAGAAGTATATTGAAACGATCGACGAACGAATTGGCGAACGAATTTCTGGAAATAAGTACATTATTCTTAACCTAATAACGATAACGACTGTTAGTCGTTTGCGAACGAAGAAATTCGCGTTTTAAAACTATTTGCAAATATTAACGAAATATTAAAAACTGTAAAAGAGAGAATCATTAAGAAACAATCGTGTATAAATTTTTGTCTCAATGGCTGGCGTTAAATGCAAAGAAGAGGTATCATACTAAGTAACACGACAATCACACAGTTATCAAATTCGTTTCTTTTGCTTCTATCGTATTTCCATTTCCTTTTTGACATCGCAATATATATTACAGAAAGTTCAGTTTATGTCACACATGTTGATGAAAGTACTGCGTAAAAATTTCTATCGTTTGCTTCAATCATTTTTTAGAGTGTGCTACTTCCTTGTCCCTCGTCGGGGGTGTACTCGTCAAGTCAGAATTGAGAGATTTCTCTGGAATCGTGGGATAAAGTTTCCCAATACGGTTCTCGGTATTGCTTTCTCCAATTATTTATTGCCACACGGTGGGGAATGTCTAATTTTGATTGATACCACGCGGTAGTCGAGCATCGGAAAGGTCGCCTCGTTAGGATATTCCGTGCAGTGTGATTCGTCGTTGCGTAACCGCAGCTCAAGGTGGTACGTGCTACGTTTCTCGCGTGTCACGCTTCTACGTCCGGGATCTTCGGCAATGTCCTTTAACCTCTTGTCTTTTACGTAACTATCAGCACGAGGCGAAGAAGCGTCTTGGTCGCTCATCAGTGCCGGGCAACGTGCAAATCAGGCTGGATTGAAATCACAGTCCACAGGCCATTTTAACGACGTCGCGTCGTCCTCTCCGTTGAAAGGTATTACATATACGCGGCTCCATTAAACCAACTGTTATCGCGTTTACATAAACTTCAACCTTCGACGTATATCCTCTTCGAACCTTCGTGCCTCTGATGATTTATTTCCGAGACGATCGTTGGAATGTTTTTTGCTCGAATGTCCGCGAGATGTAGGACAAATTGTGGTGAGAAACTTGTTCAACCGCTAGGAATATTTATGAAGTTAGATTGTTCGCGAAACGTTAGGACAAATCTTATTTAGCATTAGGAAGAAATGAAATTATAAAGCTCGTGTCATGCCTGATGAAGAATTTTGTTATAGTAAAATAGAAATATTATTATTATAGTGTATTAGTATTATTCGTGAGATGATAAAAAGTTTGTTCAACTTGTTTATTAAAGAATTGTTTGATAAATCGTTCAAAACTTTAAAAATGCGTTGTTGCAATTCTATAAAAAAATTACTACTTGTTATTTTTATTATTCCGTTTACGAATCACACTAATTAATTTGACTGTGCAATTAATATAATGCAAATTAAATGTAATTTAAATATGCTTCCACGAAATTTTTTATCTATCGTTCTTCTTTTTAATTGACTCGATGGATCGTTTAATTATTTAATGTCATTTATTTATTTGAATTTTTCAGAAACTCTCTCTCTCTCTCTCTCTCTCTCTCTGTCTGATTCTTTATTCCAATTTCGATCGATTCTCACAATCAGAGGATTCTCTCACAACTTTCTCGTTCCCCAATTACACCTCACTCTTAAACATTTCATGCGCAGAATACATATCCTTACCATGTGCAATCAATCATCATCATCATCATCATCATCATCATCACGTGGCACACATTATGCATTCTCACCTCTTGCTAGAACAGGTCGTTATTCACATATATATATATATGTATATATTCTTAGTTTGATACAAGTTAGATATATTAGTTTTGCATTAGATATTAAATATTGTATCGTGTGTGTTTACACGAATATATATGATTTGTATATTTTGAAATTATTACAACGGCCGGCTCTAAAACTTTAATAGTTTATTGGAGTTATTGACGACTAACAAGTCATCAACACATATTTTATTTATGTACATTCTAAGTAATTAAATATTTTATTTATGTACATTCTAAGTAATTGAAAATTGGCCAGGAGATATTCCTCTAACTATAGATTTTTGTTGGGACAAATTCTAAAATTCTGTAAAAGAAAAATTGTACAAGTACAGAGAATAATAACTGTATATATGTATATAGAATGTCTTTGTAATTAGTGATACAATTAAGTAAAGGATGTTTCTGCAGAAGTTGGAAAGAAAGAATAAAATTTATTCGTTTAAGGCTACGTTTTCAAAAAAAATTATTAAATTGTACTTAAATTATCATATTGATTCAATAAATTTTTCCCAATGTTGTTTGACTAATCTCGTTGTACTTTCTCTGTTTCAGGTAAGTGTCCAAGTGGTTTACGTTTATGTGTTTATCTGGTGTATGCACCGTGAGTATGTACCATGCTATGTTTACGAGATTTATTTATATCTTAATATTTCGTTATCTAACCTTCATGGTCGGCAGCCAATAAAAAGAAATCGTACTTCAATCTTCAAGATTATGACTCGTGTAGTCGTGAAAAATTTTCAGAGACATTTGAGATAACTTTCGTAATTTTTAAAAAAGAAACTATCATCACCCGTAATGTACAAAGTAGAGTTGAACATAGCAGCGAATTATTTCCACTAATTTATCATTTCTGTCGGAGAAAAAAACTTGAAAAAAGTAACTTTACTTTGGATTTCCAAGTCAAATCAATCATTCGCGAATAATCTTTCGTTTGAATTAATTCCTCGAAATGAAATAACAACTAACTCCAGCAGAGGGTGAAATTCAATAAAATCAGAGCTTGAGTTAAGAAATTACAAAATACAAAATAAAGCAAAAATTCATTTCAATAATCAAACAATGATATAATTTGCTTCGATTAAAGTAAAATTATTTCAAAACTACATTGATTAATTCAAGCAACGACTGTACATTATTCGTGTGATCGTTTCTCAGATAATTCAAACAAGACGATCTCGCGAATCAGAATTGTTAAAACAGAGCGTTTTACGCTTCGAAGTAAAATTTCCTTCTTCATGAAATTGCAACAACAGTTCGAAATGATCGACAACCGTTGTCAATCTTTGTCGATTATTTAAAAAGGAATTCGCGATGACGAAAAGAAAAAAAGAAAAAAGTCATTTCTTACAAAGCAGATCGATCCATGTCGGTTTATAATGAACAGGTTAGGAAATACTGTTCCACCGCTGCGTTCCGTGTAATGGCAGCGAACGGTGGCAAGATGCAAATACGACGGGTGGTAAAAAATCAAGGTACAGGCAATTGCCGGCATTCTTTATAGGGGCGAAACTAGCCGGGCGTTGAGCCGCCCGGTGAAAAGTGGCCCCTTATCTGTCCCTAGGTGGACAGGGCGAAGAGCCAGGGGTCGTTATCGCGGCAGGATGTCCCGCGGGAGGACACGATCTAAGTAGCAAAGTGTGTAAGGCATGTCGAACTATCGATTGGCCGACGTATCGTCGACAACGGGAGGTCGATACGCACCGGGTCCCCGTAGTTTACAAGCCGGGCGACCCGCGCGAATCGTTGATAAAGGAACGACACTTTGGAAAAAGAAGAAGGCGGCTATCGCGCTACTACCGTTAATTGAGGATACACGGAAAAGCGCTACTTAACGATTCAGATTAAAGGAACGCGTTTTTCTACTCGGACGAAACTCGAGAAATTCCTCGAACGGATACATACCGGCCCTGTGGCTCGGTTCCCTCGTTTCTTCTGAGATGCACGAAAAAGATCGCCGTCCTGCTGGGAATGATACTTGACGCTAGACCTATCGATGATTGGAGCAAACTGAAATTTCCATTAAAAAAAAAAAAAAAAAAAAAGAAAAAAAAATAGAGAAACTTTATATAATACGATGGAGAATGTTCTCGTGCAAGCTTTTATTTATACATTTTACGAAAAACTACTTGAAACACATTTCTAACGAAAAATTTACTCTCATAGTTTTAGTTTGTTAACTGGGTAGAATTTGCATACGGACGTCGAGTGGGATGGAATGATTGTGAAGTGAAGTTGAAATTATGATGGATCAGCACGTATTAAAGTTCTCCGATTTTGGAAATTCTTCTTCAGACGCGTGGCAGGTTCTTCGATCTCAACTTTTACAACTATTTCGTTCCCTATGCCGGTCGTTACACTGCTCGTAACGGAGCGATCCTCGCGGGATCGTTCCCTCCGGTGGAGAAAGAACGAGGGATTTCATTCACGTTCGGTCGTCAAGCAGCGCCGTCCCGAGTTTTCGTAATATTCCGTTGCGTAACATGGCTCGGTTTCGAGCGATGTTAGCCGAGTTACAGCCAGCAGCCGAGCAAGAGTAATCCGATCGGTGGCGTTTTATTAAGGCTCGGAGTTGTACACGCGTGTACGACGTACCTGCATCGCTTCGCGCCTCGCGACTCTTGTTTACAGTTCTCGCGAAACGCGGATTACGAGCGATGCTTGTACACCGGAGATTTCTGCATAAACGAGCAAACGCTGCCTGCACCGTGGTTTTTATTAACGAAACAACGGGACTTAGTTATACAAGTGGTTATAAAGTATTTTCGCGTTCCACGCTCGAACGTGGTTTCAGAAATCCTCCTTTTCACTTTGGAGCGGATCATCTCGCTTGCTTTCCGTTTCACTGAGTTACGCAGACACGTAGTCGAAGATTTCGCGAGGAGTTTCTTAATTGCTTTAATTTAGTATTTATCTCAATTTTAATTTAATTTATTTCAATTATTTTAATTTAGTAATTATTTCAGTTTAATTGTTCATTTTAATTTAATTTATTTCAATTATTTTAATTTAGTATTTATTTCAGTTTAATTGTTCATTTTAATTTAATTTATTTCAATTATTTTAATTTAGTATTTGTTTCAGTTTAATTGTTCATTTTAATTTAATTCATCTCAATTATTTTAATTTAGTATTTGTTTCAATTTAATTGTTCATTTTAATTTAATTTATTTCAATTATTTTAATTTGGTATTTGTTTCGATTATTTTAATTTAGTATTTGTTTTTTTTAAATTTAACATCGTCATGGTGACTCAGTTTTAAACGATCAAAGTATTTTTTTTTTTTGGTGTCAAATTATCACAGTGAAATTTACCACATCTAGACTTAATTAAATACCGTTTCAAATGCCGTGATTTATTTTATTTATTTTCATTCGTCATCAACGAATTGAATTCAATTAAGAGATAGAAATGAAGAGCCAACAATAGTGAAGCAAAATCTGTCGACAATAAAATAGTAAATTTCGATTCCATAATTCAAAAAAAAAAAAAAAAAAAAAAAAAAGAAGGAAAAGAAATAGAAAGGTGGTAATTGGTCGGTGATGTTCTCGTGACCAAAGAAAAGGGATACATACGTGTACGAATCATAATTTGCAGTGACAAACCTTTGTCCACGAGCGTGTCCAATAAATCCCAATACAATGGCGTAGTCCGTTCGTACGGGACCCCATTACATTACTCCTCGCGCCGCGAGGACAATGCTCTAGCAACGGCATAGAAACAAAAGGACGACGATCGGAGAGAACCAGAACAGAAACGGAAAGAAGGCAACGGGTGCTTTAAATGCTTTTTGTTTTCTTCACAATTCTATGAACAGAAGCGTTCGATTTTCTCACAGTCGAGCATATCATCGATCGCCGCGAGAATGATTCTTTGAATTGGAATTATTAACACCAAGGCGTTTATGTTTATTTGCACGGGTACAGTTGCTCTTGAAAGTGTGATCGGACATTTGTAGGAATTTTTTCGAATTGCACAGATGTTTATATTATATCATTACGTTGTATCATTACCTGTATTAATCGTTCGTTCACCGTTATTATTAATTCGACAGAAAGTATTTGTTGGAATTTTTAAATCCTATTTCAGAAAGTAATTTGCGAAACACCACGCTCGAATGATAAATGTCAGTCACTGATTATCAAAGGTTACAATCGACAAATTACTTTTACGACATTTGCGTAACATAGTATGTTTTGTAATTTCTCTCGTGTACGTTTTCAGATTTTATGCATTAATCAAATTTGATTACGATTGTAATAGTTGCCTCTCGTATTGCAGTATTGATAAAATGCACTGTTCTGTAGTTCGAGAGACTCGACGCGACGCGCGAAAGCGTAAAAATCCGAATCGAACAAGCTGGCCGTGTGCTCTCTGGCGGTTTGATATATCGGTTCGATTTCTAATCTTCACTGCGCGCTTCCGGCCCCATAAAATATCATCGGCCGTACGTCACGGCCGAGCCGTGTCCGCCGCCTGTAATTGGTATCGCATCACGCGGCTTCCTTCCTTCGTCATCGTCCATGGCAGCCACGATCTGCATAGACGATTATGCGAAAATATCGGCCAACACATACGCCGTTCTATACGTATTACCGGACAGGATAAATGTGTCGCCGACTCGTGTTTTCTGATCGTTGATGATAAAGATCATTGGATGTCGATCGCAGAAAATGAATCATCATTAACGGATTAAATGTGAATTACGTAGACCCGATATCTTTCAGATACTAACAGTAGAATTACCAGAGTCGTCGAAACGATCTATTCGTAATTTTTCATAATTTGGAAATTACGTAGATTTGCAACGATGCAGACAAACTTTTCACAAAAGATATACAGCTTCTTCTTCCATCGTGTCGTCGATTTATCCCTTACAATCTCCGACTCGATATATTTCAAATACTAACGATAGAATTACCAGAGTCGTCGAAACGATCTATTCGTAATTTTTCATAATTTGGAAATTACGTAGATTCGCAACGATGCAGACAAACTTTTCAGAGAAGATACACAGCTTCTTCTTCGATCGTGTCGTCGACTTATCCCTTACAATCTCCGACTCGATATATTTCAGATACTAACGATAGAATTACCAGAGTTGTCGAAACGATCTATTTGTAATTTTTCATAATTTGGAAATTACGTAGATTCGCAACGATGCAGACAAACTTTTCACAGAAGATACACAGCTTCTTCTTCGATCGTGTCGTCGACTTATCCCTTACAATCTCCGACTCGATATATTTCAAATACTAACGATAGAATTACCAGAGTCGTCGAAACGATCTATTCGTAATTTTTCATAATTTGGAAATTATGTAGATTCGCAACGATGCAGACAAACTTTTCACAGAAGATACACAGCTTCTTCTTCAATCGTCTCGTCGATTTATCCCTTACAATCTCCGACTCGATATATTTCAAATACTAACGATAGAATTACCAGAGTCGTCGAAACGATCTATCCGTAATTTTTCATAATTTGGAAATTACGTAGATTCGCAACGATGCAGACAAACTTTTCACAGAAGATACACAGCTTCTTCT